GGGGTTGCATAAACCTGGAACGACGGTAGTTTGCGGTGCGGTAGAGTGAGGTTTGGCATGTCCGGGTGCCAGCACCTCGGCCAAAGGGAGAGAGTCCGGACACCGGGCATCATGAGCAGTGAGACGTAAATGCATTATATCATTTGTTGTGTTGTATGGGCATACAGCTTCCCGGTTGCTCAGATCATGGAAAGGGTTGTCCTAAGGAGCCCACTCGGAGCCTTCGGTCATACGGACCTGATTCCCAAAACAACGGGGCGAATTCAGAGAATCGCGCCCATTGGGAGCCGGTGACCGATTTTTCGGTTCATACGGCTTTTGTTTGGCGGGCTGCTAAACAGGGGCCTAATACTCCCAGTAATTCAGCGTCCGGCTGAAAGATGATAATGTTCCAGCGAGGCGAAGCAAAGAGCAGTGAATTTATTTAGTGGCGAGTCACATCCACCATGCCTCAGTATTTTTAAATGGGCATATGTGATTTTTTGTACAAGGAGAACGCTTGTCGGGCGAAAACCCACCACGTCCTGGAACACTGCCGCCGAACGTTTTGCTGGAACGGGTAGATCCCGAACCACCCAGCTGGCACTACAAGGAGGTAGTTCGGCAAGCCAGCCAGCTGAAGTCGAAAAAGGCCACAGGACTGGATGATATTCCGTCGCTCCTCAAATTTGAAGAGCTTGCTTTTTTAACCAGTTACAACTTAATGAGAAAAAGGAGAACGTTTGATGAGCATTTGCTTTCAGTGATTCATCGTCAGGCCAGTACAATCATATATAGGACTAAAAAAGGAAAGAGCAAAATCGACCAGTTAGTACAAGTAACATGGATGAAAAATCGAAACGAGTCGTTTACATGTTACTGAGTTTGACCTCATGCCGTCGACCTTAGTATCCCCCGTTTTTGGGGGACAGGGAACTTGCAGAGCCTGGACAAGCTCGTTTTGCGAGCATAAGGACGGTTGAACTAATCGAATGCAGATTTCTTCAGCTGTCACAAGTGTACAAAGGTCTTGACCTTTCTATTCGTGCGGTTGAACCTTGTATACGACTCTAAAGGCACGCTTTAGTTGCATCTGATGCCCACTGTCGGCAATAGGAGCTAGCATGAAACTGCTAATGGCCCCGCTGCCACCTTGATGCAGCCAACGTGGGTACTGTTCATTCACGCGTTTGGACAGGTGCCGCGCCGTTCGACCGATATACGTTGCGCCACAGGCGCACTCGAACTGATAAATAACCATTGATTCGGTCAGCATGGATATCCTATCCTTGTTTCGTGAACGGACGAGTGGTTCCGTCGAAAACACGCACTTTAGCACAGCTGTTGCGTTGATCGACTTAATTGCGCCAGAAAGGCTTCGACATAAATGCTCAGTAACTGTGACCCCTTTGAAAGGCAGTCGTATGATTAGCTCTTTGTCCCGACTTTCAAGAAAGGCTAGTGTCCGGAATGCGACAATAATAGAAATATCTGCCTAAACTCCATATCCCCTGAGTTGCTTAATTCTGTCTTTTCTTACAGACTAACTGACACCCGTAAAAGCCAGATTCTTGAAGAGCAGACCTGGTTTATTTGTATTCTAGGCTGCATTAACCAAGCGTTGCCTATCGTAACCCGGTAGCCCAAGGGAAAGAGTTTTCTGCTAATATCCCAATGGTCCCCTGGTCCGAGGCCTGCTATCTCCGTCTGATGAGGTCAAATGAGGTCGAAACGCGTTGTGATGTGCAACGTTTTCTGGGGGCACTGCCTAACTTCCTTCTATTTAGCCACCTCTACACTTTTCGTCCACTGTTGGAGTGCATCCACTTAAATAGACGGTCTATTGTGGTCGTGTCCCTGGGCATTAAAGGTCCCTTGCATTTGGTGGATCGGTGTAATTTTTTGGACTGTTTGGTTAGGAGGATTGTGTCCTGGAAATGAACGCCATCAGGGCACTTTACGCACCTATTTTAAACGCCGTCACCGCCCTTCAACCTATCCAGCGGTGTAACACGAGGTAGCAAGCAGTCACTTTACCTTTTTAACTTCACCATTGGCGAATTGATGGAAACTTGGCACGGGTTATAAAATGTGGAGCTGCTCCCAGCTGATCTACTTCTTGATTTGGAGCATACTGGTGATGGCCTCCAAACATGATAAGCGGCATTGGACAGTTTAGTGCAAACTCTTAACCATTTTGGTCTTTGCTTTGCACCCTCCAAATGCAAAGTTTGTTCTCCGAAATTGGTTGAAACCGCCTCCCGTAATTACTCATGCTAGTGATAAGCTGCAAGTCGTTCAGAAATTTGACTACATAGGCCGTATCAGCTTGTGGAATAGAATATGAGATCACGAACCTTATAGCCAAAGCTCCATGTGCTTTTGCCAATCTTCACCACTTATGGCTCCTGCGCGACGTCATTCTCGACCTGAAGCGTAGACCTACACTGCAACCTTCCGTTCACCCAAACTACTAGATTGCGAAATCTTGCCCATCAAATTGACAGACCTAAAGAGGCTGGTTACGTTCGACCGCCGGTATCTTTGCAACTTGGCTTCCATCTGGTTGGATGGAAACGTGAACAATGAGCGTCTTCGGGGTCTTATTTACGGTGCAGAAAGCGGGAGTAAACCGCTCAACTTATTGTGTTTTTTTTGCTTTTTTGCATGCGAATGACTTGAAATGGTGTCTAAGCTTTATCTGCTTCTAGATTATAGTGGTGCCACGCCTGGGAAGTAATTTATTGGTGCCTGAGTCAACCTAATGCGTGTGCCTATAGTGCATTTCGTTTTCTCATCTATGTCTCAGCCCACATCGCTTTCCCTTTGGTAAGTTTAGTGCGTCGCTGCTCATTAAGGTCACGCGGGCGCTTATCATGCTTGTGGTGGTCAGCTTCTTGTTACAGTCAAGAAAAATCAGAATTACACGCCTGTACGGCTCGTGTATTTCACACGCATTGACCTGTAAGACTGGACACACGAAAATATGGTCGACGAGTCAAGTGTGAGCGCTAGGCCCTCATCAGTCGATGGCTACGGAAGAAGACCAGTCAGTGCACAGCAGTACGCACACACCCTCACTCATACACGTTTTTGGCTATTGATTTATCATTCCCCTGAACTAGCAAATTTCGCCCCGCAAAAGAGTATACTGGTGCAACTTGTCGTTGTATGTGTATTGACTTTCTTCTTGGTGCCTCAACATCACGATTGCTACGGTTACCGCCAGAAGTTCGGGCTCCAAAATTGGCAGTGTTAATATCTTTGGTAAACTTTTATGAAACTCAGACATTTCAGTCAGGTTCTTAGGCATGAGAAGGACTTATCCAGTCCATTTTGCTGGGAAACGAGAACCAAGGAAACTGCAACTTCATTTCCGTCCAGCAGTCCACACGAGCAGGTCTCCGATGCTTTTAACTTTCGGGAGTTGCATAATTGGCAAAGAGTAAGCCAGATTCAAAGGTATACTTTCAGCAAATAGGTCTACAGGTTAGCTGTTTCTTCCCGGCACTCCACGACTGGCTTCGTCCTGATTTGAACCCACCGTGTAAAGACTGCTTGATCTGTGGATGGAACCCGACACAGTCGTTGACGGCAACTTATACCTTGTTTTCTAAGCCGGAGCTCTTGGAGCAACGTTTGACACAGCGGTTATAAGCTCATTATTGGGTCTTGGAGCTTCCGCCGCGTGACTGCATTGCGACACGCATTCTCCGTCGGGGTCACGGTTTACTTTGAAGCGAATCTTTTTCATTTTGACCAAATTCTGCTCTCGGAGCTCTGACCTAATGATTAAGGCCCCGGCTGTCAGCCACTATGATTCGGATTCCACTCTCAGCCAATCTTACTGAGCAGTTCAAATTAGGCGAAACCGGCCGATCGTGGAGTGCAGTGTTAGGAGAGAGCAGCTCCGAAATTATTCACTTCGGATGCAATCGATTTGATAGAGCTTTCCTTCAAAGCAGTCCGTTTCCCCATTTGAGATTGCATGTTGCAATCAAAACACACGGCAAATACTCCGAATTCCAACCATGAAAGTCTACAAGTACATACCATGTCTGTCGGACTGCTAAATCACAGGACCTGACTGCGTACTTCGATGACCAGTTACAACGATTAGTGATTGAATTGTAACCTCTCCTAATTCCCGCTGCCATAGACATGGTTTCTAGTGAGAGGAAGTCATGAGCTTGGAGACTAGCCACTATCATTTGCAATGGGAGTAACCTGCATGGCAGTGGAAGATAGGTCGTGTTATATCCCATTTAGCTTGCAACTTATGTCGCCCGGCCGCCGTCCCCCGTTGTTCAATGACTTAAGCTGCTGGCTACTTGGCGTCATGAGTTTGATCCCCCGTACGGCACCGGAAAAATGCGCATCGCTGACGGTCCTCAATAGGGCGAAACGCGTCTGGTGCTTTTCCGGATTGTGCTTGGGCTATGTAGCTTGTGAGCTACTGTGATGAAAACATTAAATTTACAATTCATGAGTATTGATTGAGTTAGCACTTCTCTATCTAACGTCAGTTAACGGTTGGGTTAGATTAGAACTGGTTAACGTTTTGTAATCGCAGTACGATACAAATATGAATTAGGTCCGTGTTTTACGTAACGTGAAATATATCCTTTGTTTCTACTCCAAATTTGAACTAGCTGTCGTCTAACTTCAGACTGCAACTTCACCAGGGTTTTCTAGAGCGATTTTACCTCTTCCTCTCCATCTGAATCCGTTTCAACCTATCCATTTGTGAACAAACAGGACGTAACAACATTCGTCTTAGCGTACTCATATAAAATGCGAAGTTTCGCCCTCCCCCATGGTGTCTGCGCACGCATCGTTTAATTTTTATGACTTGCGCGCCACAACAATAATGATGGTTATTATGTCTTCTTCTTTTGAAAGCGCGAACATATTTGCTCTCACGTGACTTCATCTAAGTGCATTGTCCTCTTGACTCGACCCATACTCAATTCAAACTGGATTTATTCCATCGTTGTTCCGGAAACTTTTTTCATTTTTAGCTCGCTGAGATCATGCATCGAAAGGCGATCATGATCAAGGAGCGTCTACTCGGTGCCTCGGACTTCGAAGTGGGTCTGAGTGTTGGCCACTTGGCCAGTCTATACAACTACGACATGGAACGTTACCAAGATGCGGAACAACTGTATCTTCGTTCTGTGCAAATCAGTACGTGTTGAAGCACTTTCTTATCGGGCCTTTGATGTTTTTTCCCAGTGGTTTGATATTGATTTTACTTGGGCATGTTGTGTCAGTTGCATCTTATTCCGACATATGCGGAATCTTCTGCTGCTTGTAGCTTTCTGGCGCATCACCGTGGTCACACCACACCACATTCACTGTTTTGTTCATATGTGTGACTTCGGAGATAGTTGGATCACCAGGACCGATAGGGTCTATAATTCCTGTCGATGTAGCATTTGCTCGCTTCATCCATTGCTCCGTGCTGTTTGTCGTAGATGTCATCTGTTTACTGCTACGCTTTGGTTATCCTTCGTATCTTATTTTACCTGCATTTACCTGGTGGCGTGGAAGCAGTCACAACAGATTTGGCTGGCGTTGGTATAGCACTAAACACCGAACTCAAGGCCGCGGTTCTTGACTGGTTTCCGATTAACAACCGACTGTAAGCAATTTGACTTCGGGTTCATACAGGATCAACGAACGTCGCGAGCAGAGATGTAACTTGTTCGTGATCACTGCCTACACTACAGTTGACTTCATCAGTTTCGGTCAACTACGTGTTTTATCGGGAACTTGAGCAGAGCTTGCAAATCCGGTAGGGTTATACTTGATGAGATCTCAACACACTGGCTAGTCGTCTATTATCATGCGAAAATAACCTCGATGATCACCATACGCTTGATGAGAGCCGCTCAGATAATGGAGAGGCGCTTCCCATGCTATGTAAAGACCATCATTTATTTCTCTCGAGCACCACCTTCAGGCATTCGAGGAGACGTTCCGCTACTTGACGGCCAGCTTCTACGTCTCAGTCATGATCTCAGGTTAACAATATCGCGATCAGTTTCAGATGGCGGGTAGTGTAAAAGATTGCAGATTAGTCTGGTCCACAGTTATCGACCTGGACAATACTCTTGTCTGTGCAAACACCTGCACGCGTTCCGAAGGGCTCGATTCCCATTTCTCTTATATGTACAATAAGAGTACAGATAAGCGTGAAGCGTGTCACGAGGGGGCAACACTACTCGTTCATAAGCGCCTTTCGTAATTTTGCACCTGTCTTTTGTCTTTATCGTTTCATTTCGCAACTAGTGGTTTGCAGCGCCGAAATAAGTGATCTATCCACTGTTTTCTTCTGTTCCATATTCACTAGCATGCTTTCCGTATTACTTAGGTCTGGACTTGTTCGGACCCACTTACAGTGGTTTGGAGTACGATTATCGCGGCCTGCAGCGCGTGTATCACGAGTTGGGCAACCGTGCGGAAATGAGGAAGTACCAATTGCTGTTCGACCAATGGCAAAGGCAGCGTGAAAAACCACGCAGTTCGGAACCCATAGAATCGGCTGATGAACTGGAGCCGACCGATGTTATCCCTGATGACAACGCACAATGGTCTTCGTTTTTTCAGCTCGCCGACGATTATGAGCAAGAGTTTAAGCTTATATTTCCCCATCCGGACTCTTCTTCAGACGAATGTCACACACCCAGTACTTCACGAACCAATAATTGTGCTCATCACGGTTCTTCCACCTCCGAAGCCAGTCGGTCCACTGGATATTGATTCGGGGCCATCGTTCTTCCCGTCGCCGTCGCAGTCAACTTGTTCTGTTACTCTACTCTGGGACGCGATGACTCGGAAGCGTTCTGGCTATTGCGCCACTTTTGTTGCTCGATGTCCTACTTTTGGGCTCGTTTGTTTTCACTGTTGCTATGAAGCTACGTTGCGCCCATCCGATTCGCCGCATCCCATTTTGCCCTTTGTTTCTAAGGTCTTCGCAACGTGCATATGCCCACTCTGTACATACGTGTATTCACGCACATGACTTGTCGCTCCAGTTCTAATTTTCTCCTTACTCCGTTTCCCCTACCTTTCCTCGTACTGTGTTGCCTTTTTTCATACTTGAAACAAACAACCGTTTGATCAGGTTTCATCACTTGTGTTTCACGAGCCAGTGTGCGCCTTGTGGGCATTATGGACATTCTGAGGCTGCCAAATCCATGTGTACCAGTAGATATTTGGTTTCGTTCAGGTGGAAAGAGCCAATATCCTTACGATTGACGTCTATTGTGTTTCATCACTCGGCCTGCTTGGCTCTGTGGACGCAACGAGACTGGACCTTAGCGAGGTGCGCTGGTTTGCGTACCCCTGTGACCCATTGAGCTATGCAGGGTAGCATCTTCCAAGTATCTTCAGAGCCACTCCTACCAGATAAGTCTATAATTAGAGATCAGATTAACTTAGTCTCACGTTCCAATCATCTTCGGACGTTAGGGAGAGCTCGGTGGTGACAACAGGTCTACGGGTTATAAGCTCACAGCTCGATTAACGCAGAGCACGAGCGCCACGCATTGTCTCTTACGGTGGGAGGGCACGTTCCCGTGCTCATAGATTTGCTACCACTCGCCCCAAGCCAGACATCTCGTAGTCAAATAGGTACAAACTCGCCAAATCCTACCTGCGGCTGGCCGTGGTCGCAGGTACGTGACGTAATACGGTTGCGAAACATACCTGCATTGTTCTAAATCTTCAAAGGGTGTGTGTGACAGGCATCAAGTAGATCCCAATGGGTCTCTGCAATCACACTCCCGAGCTGGACTTGCTCCCTATTGCCTTGTGGGTCAGATTATATATATTTATTCACAAGTCTGTAAACAGACAAATGTACCATCCGAGCCATGGTGGTATGGAAAGGAGAATGTAATGTTGAACGAGAGAGTAAAACGTTAGAAAAATGTTTTTTTCCAGTTTCACACACGCCGTTTTGAGTTTTTTCTGTATTTGTTTTATTTAACATTAAAAAGCACACGATGAAGAGATGGTGGAACAGCATTGACGCCACTGCCTCCTATTGCGGGTCATATCCTCCAAGACCTCCAACCATTGGGAATCCGCTTCACCTGGTCCCCAGCCTAGAAGACGCACAGATCCAACTGACGCTAGACACGAAGTTAGGATCTTCATACTCCTTTTCCAGGTCATCGGTTGTCCGCCGCGGCTCTTTTTCCATTCGCGTCCAGGAAGTGCAAATAATGCGCGACATGGAAGACGGTGGGTCGACATGCGCAGTACGTGACCAAGCCAGTGCAATTGGTGCTGGATGATTATGCTCTGGAGACTAGGACTGTCCGCTCCCATGATTCTGCTTCTAACTTCCGCGTTGCTCACATGGCGCTGCCACCATACGCGAGAAATCGAACGCAAGCAGCGGTTTTCGAAAGTAGATAATTATCTCAAATCTTCCGATCACACTGGCCAGGTCTCGCAACCGTACAGTAGGACAGCACGGACTGTGGCATTGTGCACTCGGCTTTTATGCTTGATACTGACATCGCGACGACGCCACAGGTGTCTTAGGTTAGTAAATGCAAGGCGAGCTTTGGCAATTCGATGTAGAATTTCATCGCCAATACCACCACCAGCCGTAATGCAACTCCCGAGGTAAATAAAGCTGTTAACGAGCTCCAGGCTGACACCCGAAATGGTGAACGTAGGCACAGGAGCCTATCAATCCTGGAGCAAAGCCTTACACTTGGATGGAGCAAAATACAGACCGTAGTTAGATGCTTCTATCGCTAAGCGGTTCAGAATGTTTTGAACAACCTGCGAGTCGTTCCCCAGCAAAGCGATGTCATCAGCATAGTCCAAATCCGCGACTCTGCTCCCGGGTCGAAGCTCAACGCCGCAGCTCTGGGCTCCTTCCAATGCGCGATGTAAGACATCTTCAGTGGCAAAGTTGAACAGGAACGGCGCGATAGGACAACCTTGGCGCACTCTACT